CAGGACATGCTCCAATGGAGCAAAGCTCAGGGAGCATGTCCTGCCTTCCTCTGCAGGGGAGAACAGGTCTCTACCCATCTCCATGTGACGTCCCCTCACATATCTGTATGTCGCCAACATATCCCCTCTGAGTCTCCTCTTCTCCAGGCTGAAGAGACCCAGTTCCCTCAGTCTCGCCTCATACCCCACCCCCTGCAAACCGGCCACCAACCTTGTGGCCCTACGCTGCACTGACTCTAACCTGACTAAATCCTTTCTGTAATGAGGGGCCCAAAACTGAGCACAATATCCAGTTGCAGGTGCACCAGAGTCGTATAGAGTGGTAGTAGTTGTTGTGAGCCGCCCCGAGGCTACGGCAAGGGGCGGCATAGAAATGTTTTAATAAATAAATAGTAATACCTCTCTTGATCTAGAAGCCACACTTCTGGCTATACAACCAAGGGTGGCGTTCGCCCTCTTGACCACTGCTGACTCATGTTTAGCCTGCAGTCAATCAGTACCCCAAGGTCCCTTTCACAAGTGCTGCTCTCCAGCCACTTGTCACCTAACCTGTACTTATGACAGCTATTCCTATGCCCCAAGTGCAAGACCTTGCACTTATCCACATTGAATGTCATCCTGCTGTCTCCTGCCCACTTCCATAGTCTGTCCAGATCCTTTTGGATCTGGAGCACCTGCTCCTCAGTTGTGGCCACTGCTCCAGTTTTAGTGTCGTCTGTGAATTTGATCAGCAGACTGTTTACCCCTTCTTCCATGCCATTAATGAAAAGATTAAACAGGATCGGCCCCAAGACAGAGCCCTGGGGGACCCCGCTTAGCTGATGGTCCATCAGATATTGACCAGTGGTTCTCTTGTCCATCCCTGTTTTAGGCAGCTGCAAAAGGGATACCTCTGATTATCACTGACTGGAAGTCATGGCTGATTCAGGCCTTCCTTCTACTCATCCTCCAGCTTCCCTGAAATGGATTGCTCTTTCATGACCGATAGCAGTGGTAGTAAAAGAGAAATCAGTAGCTGGGGATGCAATGGCAGCAGATTCAGGGTACCCATGGGTGGAAGCAATAAATAAAACAATGCATCCTAATGGAATATGAGTATGTCTGGAAATTTCATCTTTGACTTAGAACTCTGCTAATCCAAATAGGAAAAAATCATCTTGTCAGTTCAGAAGTCTTCTATTATCTCATACGTTCCATGGCTGAAACTTGACCAGGAAAACAAATTTAAGAGGATGAGTCCCTATGCTTTAATTCTAAGCCCTGGTTCAAATTAAAGGTTGATCCTTGGTAAACTAATTTGTTCTGGAGTAAATGCCACAACACCATCAATTGAAAACAATGGGACTTCAGTTGGCTGAGGATTTAGGATTCATCAGGAACCTTGTTCCATCAGGAACACAAAATATAGCAGCACTATGGTAGATTTTTCAGTGGAACACCCCAGTACACTGTCCCACACCTTGCCAATGTAGCTGCAAGGATGGATGAAAGAAGATGTCTCTTTCTTTATAAGTCCACTTTGTCAAGTCAAACCGATAAATCTTTCTTTTCCATTCTGCGAATCCTTGTCACTTGTTCAGAAAAGAGTAATGTTCAGTTCAGCAGAAGCGAAGTTTATGAAATCAGTAAAGCCATCCCGGGCGGCCATCAAGTCAAGACTGCAATTCTGGGCATATCTGCTTGAAAGTTCCACATTAATTGGAAGTGCGGGGCTTCCCTCTAAGCAACGTCGAGTCATTCCTCTGTACATTGCCGTACGAATGGCTCGAAGCCTCAGGGGAATTTCGCCTTTATAGCGCTTCCTTTCTGTTATGGGCAAGCCTTGCGGTTTAGTCCCGCCCATCTGCAGAGCTGAGAGCACATGGGAGGAGAATGCCCAGCTTGCTCTCGGCCGGGGGCGCCCGCTGCGCCGTTTAGGAAAAGCGGCAGCCTAGGCAGCCGGGGGCTCTTTCCGAGCGCGGCCCTCCGCACGCCTGCAGTTGGCTGCTGGGCGCGGCCGGAGGTGTGGGCAGGCCGAAGCCCTCCTTTCGTGGCGGCCGCTCCGGGGAGGTGCCGGCTGAGCGAGCGCTGCGCGGAGCCGCTGCAGCTCGCGGGCCATGGCGAGCCTGAAGGAGGAGCTGCTGAAGCCCATCTGGCATGCCTTCACCGCGCTGGACCTGGACAGGAGCGGCAAAGTCTCCAAGTCCCAGCTCAAGGCAAGTTCAGCGCGCCCCCAAGACGAGGGCGGAGGGGCGGCAGCCTCTGCTCTCCCGCGGCCGCTTTCTGCCTTCCTCGGCGGCGCCTCCGCGACGCACTTCCCCTTTTTCGGAGCACCCTCGGCGACTCCTTCTGGCCTGGGCCGAGGGGGGAGAGCGAGGGCGGACTGGCTGGCGTGGCACAAGCCTGCTGGCTAAGCAGGGCTGACAGGCACATCCCAGACATATTCTCCTAGAAGGCCCTTTCATGCGCCTTTTTGGGTTGAATAGAAAGGGGTCGGGTGGGGGCCCCCTATTTTCCTTCACCTCACTGGTTCTCAGAACTAAGGTGTTGTATGGGGGAGAGGAGGTAGTACCTACAATCCGTGATGCCATCAGGTGGGATGGCGGCGGCCGCCTGTATTGAGAACGGCTGCCCTTGGTGGGCTTTCTCCTTCGGTGAAAATCTGGTAGGGTCTCTTGGAGGCTGTTCGCAGGGTCTGGGAGTGGCAACTCTGGACTGGGCTGCGTTTTTGACCCCCCCCTTCCCGAAACAAGGGAGGTGAAGGAGTTTCTTATATTAAGAAAGCTTTCCCACATAATGAACAATATAGGAACATAGGAAGCTGCCTTACACTGGTTCAGACTCTTGGTCTAGGACCCTAAGTAAACCAGTTTTGTTGACACTGATTGGCAGCAAAGATTTTCCAGGGTTTAAGGAAAGCGTTTTCACAGCCTGGAGATACTGGATTGAACCTGGAGCCTTGTGCGTAACTGGCCTGTTTTTTTTACCACTGAGCAACACTTATTCCCTCTTTCAGTAACAGGGACTGGGATTATGGCACTTTTGGCTGTGAACAGAGTTCGATCCCATTACAAGACCATTTAGTGAAGGTATTGCTTGAAATGGGTCATTTCAGCTTTCTGTATCTCCAGAGGTGGGTTTTCATTTTTCTTGGCACAGATGAGTGACCTTGCTGTTTTGAAATGGAGCAAGTTCTTTTGGGCTCAGCAGTGTATGAATCCAAAGCAGGCTGGTCCATTCAAACAAAATCCCCAGGGTACAATAAAATTATAGGAACTGATCAGTGTTGCTAATTCACTATGTATTTTTCAAGTCATCAGAATATGTTATCAGGAAGCATGTCCTACAGAAAAAAAATAGCAAGCATAAATAGCTTCCTTTTTTTTCTTGATGTTCTGATAAAGATGTTAGGTAGTATCTTAGTGTTGTTCTTTGGAATGGCTGTTCAGAATCTTAAACAAATTAAAAGAATATATAAAGGATGGTAAGCCACTAGGGTGGCTTTTACATCTTATCTGTTACATTTAATTTGAGGTATTGCACTCTGGGCCACTTGACACAACCAAACAGTGAGATGGGAACAGTGTGTGAATGTGTATTATATTTACACCAGTTTTCCATGCCATGATTGCATCTCACAGATCAGGGCATATTCACTGTGCCAGCACAAAGGATGAAATCTTTCAAAATGTAGGTGTCCCATAAATAGTGCAACTAAAATATTTGAGTAGTCTTAGGTTACACCCCCCACACCTTTTAGGTTATACTGTATATACAGTTATATAAGGCAACTTGTGTATAAAACAAGGTTGATATTTTGGGCTGTTTTTCTGATGTGTATTATATGTCAGGCTTATAAGAGAACCCCCAATTTTTGCTTCACTATTTTCGAGTTCATGGGGCATCTTATAGGCCAGTATATACAGGTGTTTGTCAGCTGGAAGCTTCTAGTTAGTTGCTTCGGGAAAGCTCCTCTTCTCAGCTGCTTCTGCTGCCAGCCCGGAATGGTGTGCAGCTCCCCCACAAGGGTGGGTGGATGGGGCAGGCATCAGACTTGGAACCAGGTGTGTGGCTGCACATGATGTGACATGATGCAGGATTAACTCCCTCCGCGCAGGGAATGCTCTCCTTTCCGGCTGCCGTCCTGGCTGGTCTGGAACAGCATGGTGCCTCCCAGTAAGGGTGGATGGGTGCCAGACTCGGAACCAGGTATGTCGCCACACAAGCACCCTGCAGGGCGATGTGGAAGACAAACTACAGTAAGGGAACATTTTCACCTGGCATATGAGATGATACCCGATTTTTGCTTTGCTATTTTCATTTTCAAAGGTTGTCTTATATGCCAGTATATGGTATCTTAAACTGCTGGGTCTGTTCTGGGATACAGAACCATTTCTTGGTGGGGGTGAAATTATGCCTTCACTGGGTCCTCTGTGGGAATAACCATGTGAGTGGGCATGGCTACACCTGCTGACACATTTGCCCTGCCCTGCCCTGCCACAGAGAAGGGGAGCTGGCTAAGTGTATGGTGTAGCCATTATGCAGCGGAATCAGTGCAGACTGAAGATTGCACTGATCCATTCTACTGCTTGATCATTTGAATTTCTCCTCTGTGGCTGGCCTTAGGTGGCAGAATTTAGATTACTGTTAAAAGGCAGCAAAATGTTAGTAATTTTGCTTCTTATCATAGGAGGAGAGATACTTTCAGGTTGAACACATGCATTGCTTGCAAATCATTGCAGGTTCAATCTCTGGCATCTGCCAGTAGGGCTGGGAAAGACCCCATCTGAAAATTGAGAATTCCGTATATAAGCAGAATTCAATCAGACACATTAAGTGTCTGATTCACTTTAAGGTGACTTCCCTGCTTGTTCCTAAGTTTTACCACTTTGGAGGCTGCTACATGTCTTTTCCATCTTGTCTTTGCATTGTCTCTAGGAGTAGTCCATTATGTTACTTACTGTAATAATGGCCACTAGGGAACAGATAACTTATCTTTGATAAGGAATAATAGGGAGTCATTGTGTGTGGTGGAATGAGCTTGGGTTTCTGGAAGAGTTTAGGAACATAGGAAGTGGTCTTATGCATACCAGGTCAGACTATTTTGTTTCTCTAGCTCATATTGCATATCCTGTAGCTGTCAAAGGTCATGGGGAACCGTCTTTCCCATCATCTGCCCCCAGATTTTTTAAACTGGCCATGCTGCCAGGGTTGAAGCTGAAAGCTTTTCTAGGTAAATTATTTGCTCTGCCTCTGAGCTGCAGCTCCTCTTCCAGTGTTTAGAACAATCGGACACAGAGAAGTGGGTTAGAAGGTTGCTTTGAAAGAAAGGCAGCATAATACTCATATAAGTATTTTATCATGTAGACCCTTTCCTTCTTCCTTCTCTTTAAAATTGGTTAGGTGATCAGGCATGAATAATGAAATCAGACAGGAACAATTATTGGGATAAAGTCTAGATTTGGATCATGCTGTCTCTGTTGTAATGTCTTTTCAATTCTTGGAGAATTAATTATAATTGCTGTTATTGTTGTAGATCTTTCAGTTGACTACAGATGTATAACACATATTCTAGGATATTTCATGCCATGATTGGAACTGCTAGACACAGTTGTAATAGGGCTGATTAATACACACATTTTACTATAGCAATTCTCCTGTTTTTGTGTTTTGTATCCAACAAGTTTGACGTCATCTTTTGCACCAAAAAAAGTATTAGATCCTGCCTCCACCCACTTCAAATACTGGCTGTAGCCAGCACTTTCTTTCTATCCCAGCGGCCCATGACATTCAGGCATCCAAATAAAAAGGACTGGCTTTGTTTTTAGCTTAGTGTGAAGCCTGCCAAAAGGAGAGATAGATTCTATACTGTTCTCTTGTTGGAGCGCTAACAGGAGAAGTAGTCAAGAGGCTCCATTCTTTTTTCTTGCCACATGGTCTGGATAGTGTTTTGGACAGAATTCTCATACAGCTTGTGGGACTTTGATCAGCAAATCTGGGCACACTTCATTAGACTCTCTTGGCCCTCAATTTCTCTGCTCAAGCCAGCTGTAAAAAATGTTTGAATAGAACTCTACACCTGTGCAGTGACTCAGACAGTAGGTCATTGTAATGATCACTAGGTCAGCTGTAGTGTATTCTTTTGCTGGCCAAACTGTGAGCCCTGTGAATAGTTCAGAGCAGTATTTCTAACTGCATAAAAAGACCAAGGGGCTTAGATCTGGGGTAGGAACAAATTTATTTCTGAACTCTCTTCTGTATTTGTGAGATGATGTAGTATTCCACAAATTGTCTCTACACTTAATTTTGATGTCCATGTGTGGTGGTTTGTGTAGTCCTTGTAGCTGTACTTCTCAGTTCAGCCTTCCCCAACCTAGTTCCCTGCAGATGTTCTGAACTACAATAGCCATGCTGGCTGTGGATGATAGGAGTTCCATTCCATACATTCAGAGGGCACAGATTGTGAAAGACAATTATTTAACATCATTTAGCATAATGTGGACATGCAGGCTTTAATTCTGAGTAAAAAACTCAGCCCTAGATTCAGTATGCTGAGATTGTATCTTGGAATGTCAGAGTGGGAGTAGCAGCCTGTTGTGCCTACGCATTCATGGAGCCCACCTCTCATGCAAGGGGACTTGGTTGCTTCTAAAAATAAGCCAAGTGGAAACACTTGTTTCTGGAATGGGGCAGGTCACCAGAGCTTGCAGGAGAGAGAGCTCCACTGACCAATTCCATCTGGAAATGAGCATTTCCACCCATTTCCCTGGTTATTTTTAGAAGCACCAAAGCCATGTTGTGCATTTCAGGGTTGTACTATGCCAAAATTTGCACTGCTGGATGATAATGCTTTATCGCATAGTACCGATTCAGTTTAGTTGTTATCTTTTATTGTAGTTTAAAAATAAACATTGTCTTTAGCTTTGTTCCTGTAGTCTACTTGTGCGTTTAGACTTTGGTATAGTGCATGATTCTGGATGCAGCTAGGTCAATTCTTTTATGACTCTACTGCTGGCACTGTGTAAATCTTCCTGTAATGCTTGTTTTGCACGTGGTAGTTTGGCCTGTAGTTGATAAGCTATATTTGGAATTGACAGAAAAAGGCATTACAAGTGTCAATAGGATTAAGCATGCGGAGATACCACAAGCAAAATCTGCTGATTTTGGGACTTAGGCTCAAACTGCACTTTTCTTTAAAGACATAGCTAGAAGTGTGCTCTGGATTGCAACACTGGTGTGTGGGGGCTTCAGTCCTTATCAGGTGGTCCTTATCAGGATTGGAGAGCCTGTGCCTGCAATTTATTTTGATCCATTTATTTCAATAGATGCTTAATTTCTTTTTTACTTTTCATGTTCAGTGGCAATAGGTTAATGATCTTACTTCTCTCTCTTAACCTTTCATTGTCCTGCAGAGGCAAAGTCTGTAACATTTTAGCAAATTGAAAGCGTTTGGGAGGAGGGAATGGGACACACACCGCTTTATTTTTTGTGCAGTTCTTCAGGTCAGAATCTGAATCACTGAGATGAATCATACCTTTTGTTCAAAGAGGAAGGATTGGTATAATTAATAGAAACAGTGAGGCGAGACTTTGCAGACATAGACAAGGAAGTTCTACAATTATAACTAGTGGAAAGTCAGTGACATTGTTGGCAGAGCTATATTAAAAGAATATACTTCTTGCACTTTTTCAGTATAATGGGGAAGTGCCTGTCTTCTAATTCATTTACTGCTTGTAATAAGTGAACCACCTAGACATCTATGTTCTTGAATTTCAAGGTTCCATCACTGAAGCACAGAACATTCTGTGTTGCTTAGCAACCACATGAAACGAGAAGAATGAGAATTACTGATGAAGTTTATTCCTGTTTAAGAGAAGCCTAGACTCTTAATACCCTCATTTAATTCCTCTTTTGAAAAACACGATTGCTCAGTAATGTAAATTATATGAAAATCCAAAGAGGGTTTATATTTTTGTCCCTGGCAGATTTAGTGAGAGAATAGATAAGCAAGACATCTGAAGCCAAAATCCTGTGTACTTTTTTTCATCTAACATCTTTCTCTTAGTGCAGCTTCACAGAAATAATTTTACTTTTTTCCCCAGGCACTTCTAGTTCTTGCTGCTCCTACTGCTGCTGGTTGTCACAATGCTTCACTGAAGCTTGGCTTCATTTTCCTTAAGATTATTTGTCAAAATTCTTTTTCTCATACTTGCTGTTTTTGCTATTTCTCCAAGTCCTACATTGGTACTATGGATTACTTTGGGGCTTTAATTTGGCAGCTGTACATTAGAAGCAGAATTTGCCTGTTTGCTAGGTATACACACTGATACTAAAGTATCTCCTCCACAGAACTTCAGTAGTGTATGACATTAATTCATATTTAGACAAATCTTATGCATGTTTATCAGAGGTAAAATGCATTTTCAGGGAAGTGTGGCTCTTAGTGCAATGTCTACTCAGAAGTGTCTTTCAAGTTCTGTGTGGTTTACTCTGAAGTAAGTGGGTATATTGTTCATAGTATTCTAATTCCACCTCTCAAAATTAAGTCTCCAAAAGACAATTTGCAAGGTACAATTATGCAACAATAAATATGGAGTGCAATTAACTAAAGTAGCAGTATAAAACATTTCTTAAAGTAACTGCAACAGTTAGAACTCTTTATCAAATAAAGATTTGCTTCCTTCCATTTAAAAGAAGAGAAGCCTCCACATCTTCAAGCCCTGTTTAAAAGCAGTCAAGAAGGGAAAGAGATTCACCTTGTGTGATAGGGCATTTTGTATGATTTGGGCTACCATAGAAAAGGCCCTGTTACTTCTGCCTGCCAACCTAATAGTTGTTATCAGCAGATATGCGAGTGTGGACTTCATGGACAATCTTGAGATATGGACAGGTTCATACAGGTTCTGATGGTCCTTCAGATAAATTGGTTCCATATTGTTTAAGGTCTTAAAGATGATCGCCGGGATTTTAAATTGAGCATGGAAATGTACTGACAACCAGTGCAGCTGGTACAGAACTGGTGTTACATGTTGAGCTTTCCAAAGTGTCATTAAAGACAGACTTAGTGACTTTTAGACCTGTATTGGCTCAGATAAGATATTTTGACAAAGCATATAGAATGCCTCATGCACTTTCCATTCTCATTCTTGTCATGGTTCAGGCCAAATTAGAGATGATGCATGAGATCCATGAATGATCTCCCAACATGCTTTTAAAAGCTTAACAGCAGCTGAAAGGATTTGGTAATTAAGATAGCCTTTTCTACAGCTTTCAAGGAAGTCAAGCCCTGAAAAAATGTCCCCTATGTCCTGCTAAGCCTTAAAAAGATGTTAGGAAATCTATCATAGGTTTCTTGCATCACACAGCTTGGACTTTAACTCGAATCTTAATTGAAATTAGTAATTCTGTCCATATTTGGTGGATTTTATCTTCCTTTGAAAGCATAATCTTTGATATTAAACTGAAATTTCATCTACATTTCATTCATATCCTGTCTTTTTCCTACAAAGGGCTCAAGGCAGCTTACATCATTCTCCTCCTCCATCTTATCCCCACAACAACAACCCTGTGAGGTAGGTTGGGCTGAGAGTCTGTGACTGGCCCAAAGTCACCCAGTTGGCTCCATGGCTGAGCGGGGACTAGAACCCAGATCATCTGAGTCCCAGTCCCATGCTCTTAACCACTACGCCACACTGGCTCTCATTTGATTAATCTAATTCTGTTTGGACTTAATTTCCTAAGATTTCAGACTGATTTCCTCTGCATTTACTGTGCATATGACAATATGCATCTTTATAGAGCCATAATCTTTCTCTGAAAGCTGATTATATTTCACTTATTGTAAGTGTTTGGACCAGCTTGCATTGTGCATCTTTACTCTACTCTGGCATTTAGCAAAATAGCAGAAGTGAAAATAAAGGCTTTAATTTTGGCAGCTTCTTTTTAGAGGCAGGTACTTGGGTTTCCTGAGAGAAGAGTATTTTGCTAAATGTGGTTGCATTTTTTCTGCTGAATAGTATTTTTGCTACAATGTAAAAGAAAACATTGTGTTAAAATAATAGCCAAAGTTCCAAATCTAAACATATATGCATGCATTTAACCTTCATTGAACTCTGTGGGGTTGTATGTATTTAGGTTGGGGGATTAAAGGTGCATTTCTATGCTCCCCTATGTTGTCTGGTGGTCATAGAATTATTCAGACTTTGAGGGAGCATATTTTCTGTTCACTTCAGAAGAACTCAGTCCTATTCTGGTCTGTTACTGTTCCTGGTTTCCTAGGTGAAAGAGCTTGAAGACCCTAACTTGTTTGTCTCTATTTTTCAAAATACAGATAATGGATGCCTCCTTAGTTCCAACGTTCACTTATTTATTTACAGAATTTGTATACCACTTCATATCTAAGCAGATTCTAGAGTGATGAACAGTATAAAACTAAAACAAGTAAAATAATATAACAGCAATGTTGTCTTTAATATATTATTACTAGTGGTGCTATTGCAAGTGTATTTTTCATCATTAAAAATCCTGTTTGCGCTATTACTCGATGTGTACAGTTTTGTTATGTTGCTGCATACTTACTGATTTACTCTGTTTTTTTAATAGGTCCTTTCTCACAACTTGTGCACATTGCTAAATGTTCCACATGATCCAGTGGCTTTGGAAGAGCATTTTAGGGATGATGATGAAGGACCTGTTTCCAATCAGGGTTATATGCCTTATTTAAACAGATTCATCTTGGAAAAGGTATGTGTGTCTCTGTCCCTGAGTACACTTTGACTTTTAGATTCTTATTTTTAATTAGAAGTAATGTTTTTGTTATCCAGTAGTAAAAAGTAGAATTCAGAAAAAGATAAAAATTAACATGATCTGTGAAGTGAGCCAGTGTTTAGAAAATACAGAGAAGTATTTCAGATCAAAAAACCTCCAGAGTCACTGATACAGAATGGCCTTCCAGACTGATTTATGGGAACAGGAGTAAAGGAAGCTAACCAGACCTGGTGGGATGGTACTTTTTCCTGAATCACCAAAATTTGCATGTCAGTTTGCAGTTGAGTTGAACACATGGAAGTCATGTTTTTCCCTGGATCTCCAAGGTGTGTATATGTGGTAAAAAGAACAAATGAGGCTTTTACATCAGGAATGCTACTTGTACATGTAGCATCCAGACAGATACATGTTTTTGCCATGTGTGAAGGTATACGTGAGAATTTTGTGATAGGCCTAAAGGATAAGGTCCCAGACTTGCGACAACCATCTTGTGGCTGTGACCACTCTTAATACTGCAGTTTGCTGTTATTGATTGGATACTCTTAGAAAACAAGAGAGAGGATGTAGAACACTCTCACAAAGTCTGTCCTAACCTCACCATAAAGTGTTTTTTTTTTTTTTGCTTAGGATGGTCAGGAGAACAGAGAGTGAGGTTCATATAAACCAGCTACAGTTTAATGACACGAAGCACTACTTTTTTTCACAAAGGCAAAGTTTATGAATGAAGGAAATCCAAGAAAAGCAAACTTCCTTGTTTTGTAGTTATACTTTACTGAAATGAGGCTTTTAAAAAAATATGTGCTCTCTTTTAACTGTTCATGTTCTCTTTGACGGATTTCTGTTTTTTCTGAAGTGTTGATGATTTGCTGAAGACACCCATCTTTAAGCCAGTAATCATTGGCTTCTTGTTTTAGATATTAAGAGTGGGGAAGCCATAGTATCATTTCACAGCTCCTCCTTTTCCCTGCCACATTTGTCAACTGATGGTGTCAACCACCTCTTAAGTATAAATTATGGGAAATCAATTCTTTCCCAATCATTCTCCATCACTACCACAGAAGGGTAATTGAACTATGAAACCCCTTTAAGCAGAGTCACTGGTTCATTTATTATTATGATATTATATTGCATTTCCATCTCACAGTTTTCTATCTCACTGTAGTGTGCAGTCAAGTATTTAAATGTAATACATGATGTGAGGACATGGGATACAATACACAGGGAAGATACTGTAGCCTTAACAAAAATCTCCCAACCCCACCTTGCAGGGATCCTTAGGAAAAGAACTTTGCACTGGTCCCAATGGAAGGCTTGTCCCCTGCAAGGCTACTTGCAGAAGGTGGGCAATTTTCATCACAGTAGCTGCTGGGGAGAAGATTACAATTCCCTCTGCTGTGCACTTTAATTCTGTGATCCTTGGAAATCCCCACCCCACATACAGACACATACACATGTGGACTGGGTTTGGACAATCAAGAAAAGAAAATAGTCACCATGATTTATTTTCCTGTCCATGCATACAGCCCTCACACTGCCATATTACTGGAGCAGTAATTTGGCAGTGATTTAAAAACTATCCCAGAAAGCATTATTTATTCTAGAATTACAGGGTAGATTCAAACTACTCCTGTGCTTGCCAGATTACTGGACATGGCAAACCAAGCCTGGTGAATATAATTATGGTATTTTACTGGCATGCAGTGGGCATGTATGGGGCACATAATAATCTATGATGCCTTATTTTTCTTCTCCAATCATGTGAACTTGCCCATACTATCACAGTTCTAAAATAATGACTTAATTGCATGCTGTTCGTTTTAACATGTTACTTGACCTTTAGCTACTTAAAGCACACATACCATATTGATGCCAGGTATAGAAACAGACACAATAGCTCCTTCTCCCAACCCCCACCCTCCAAGCTTAGGTTTAAGTCTTTCCCAGTCCTGTTACACACATCTTAACCAGAGATGCCAGGAATGAACTTAGGGCCTTTGGCATATGACTGGAATACAGCCTCTTACTGTACATGGCCTGTTCTTAGTGAATTGGGCACCTCTGAAAACAAGTTTTGTTAATGGGATGGCTTGCATGCCAGTGCTTTTTGGATCAGTACCTTCATACCAACTGATTTTCATTTATCTTCACACTGGGAAGAATTTCTCAGAAAATAAATGTTAGTATTCTATATGACTAGGATCAAAGCCTCATAAATATTTTCCTCACTGCTCTGTTTGGTTGAAAATGAGAAAATTTGGCCAGCTGTATTCAGTGCATTGTTCTGTTTTTTCCAACTGGTGCCCATTCACAGATTAGTCCAGATCATTTTCCTGTGAGCAATAGTGACAATTTGTGCAAGAAAAAACAAGAAACTCTTGGTTCAACAGGAAATCTGTTATCCTGCTTCACATCTCCCACGTAAATCTCATTGACCACACCGGTCAAGCTCTCAAAATAGTTCCTCTTGTGCTCCTGATTGCAAATGAATTATTTATCTAGCTCACTGGGGAGAGTAGTTGTCCTTTAACAGAGTTTACATTGTTGAGTTAAGGGAGCATGGAGAAATGCCCAGACTGGCTATTCAATAAAGGGGAAGTTTGCGTCTTTTTGCTTCTTTGTGCTGGAATATTGAATTGCTGCTACCCTTAATTAACAGTAAGCTGTGCTAAATCAAAAGGTGTCTTGAAGGCTCATGGTTTTGACTAACTTCAGTTTGAAGGATCACGCTCAAGACTGAGTGACAGTCTATTCCACATTAATTCCGCCTAGTCTTCATGGCAGACAAGGAACATCAGTGGTGATTGACTTGCCACTGCTCTGTCAGCAAATTTGCAGTCACCCTCAAGACACAAAAGAAGATTTGAGAGAATGATGCATTCAGTCTGAAGTAGCAGCCAGTACTGGCACAGACATTCTTCCTTGAGCAATTTGTACAGCTGGCTCTGCCCAATTTTAAATACGGAGTATAAGAACGAGGCCCACAGATCAACATGTGATATAGCTTCAGCTTTCCTGTGAAAGAGTTTTCAGTGGCCTTGCTGCTGTCACCAGTACATTGTATAGTTTTTTGCTTTGTCTCTTTAATTTTTTCTTTTAACTTTAGCTTTGCTTTGCTTTGACTAGGTTCAAGGAAACTTTGACAAAGTTGAATTCAATAAAATGTGTTGGACTCTGTGTGCCAAAAAGAACCTTAAGAGAAATACCTTGCTCCTTACTGATGAGGATGCTTTTAAAGTATGGGTCATCTTCAATTTTCTATCTGAAGATAAATATCCACTAATCATCGTACCAGAGGAGGTAGGAAATAACTCTTTTATGTATTCAAATAATCCTCCAGCTGTATCTAAAATGTATGGGTTTTTCCGGCATTTATTGTTCTGTTGCAGTTGGTGGAAAAATAATATTGACTAGTAGTAGTATTCTGAAAATGAAGCATGTAATTCTCTTGCTTGCTTTATTCCCAGATTATTAACATGATCCAGAGAGGTTCCTAAGCTCAGGCACAGAGGTTGCTCTTTCTCAGTACCCATTTTGTTCTTGACTTCCGTGTAATATTTCTTTATTTATGTATGTTATTTTAAAAAACATTTATATCCCACATTTTCTCCACTTGCAAGGAATCCATGGTGGTTTATGTGGTCTTCCTCCTCTCCATTTTGCCTTCAAAGCATCCCTGTGAAATAGATTAGGGGTTGAAAGTCACTGACTGCCCAGAGCCACCCAATGAATGCACCTGAGCCTATGGAATGCACTCCCCAGAGAGGTCCGCCTAGCGCCGTCGTTATTTGTTTTTCGGTGCCAGGCTAAGACCTTTTTATTTCAACAATATTTTAATAACTTTTAACATCAGTTTATAGGTTTTAATCTGCAGCCGGGGTGGATCTGGATTTTATGTGCATTATGTTTTATTTTATGTAAGCCTTCCCAAGGCTATGCGATGGGACGGCATACAAATACTCTAAATAAATAAATGAGCTTTAAGGCCAAATAAGGACTAGAAGCTGGATCTCCTGTGTCCCGGTCCAGTGCTCTAACCATCACACCACACCTGCTGTCACATTGCTTTTAAAACTTGCCTTATTTTCAAAAGCAGTTGGCCATGTGTCTGCTCTTCTTGAAAGAAAAACTGAAAACTATGCACACAACTGGTTTTAATGGTTCTTTGGATTCTAACCTTTGTTGTGATGCCATATTTTAGACTGTGAGCCCACAGGTAGATGACGTGCTTCAAAAATATATTGTAAATTCTGTAAGTTCTTTATAAAATATGCTGATAATGCCTTGTCCTCAATGACCATGGAAATAATTCTGAGTCCATTGGTGAAGAACTGTTTGAGACAGAGCACTAGTCTTAGCTCAACCCCTTTCCCATAGTCTCTTGATATTTAGAAAAACCAAAGATGTATCTCAAGCACCTGGTTGTTTCTAATGTCTCATGTCCACTAATGCTACCATGGCACAATCTGCACCCACAGTGCAGACTCGGGCAGCTCACCCCTCCTGTTTCTTTGCTACCTTCCTGTCAGGCATAGGATCACAGGAAGGCTTGAAAGGTTGAGGTCCTGTGTGCATGTCAGGCTCTCCACGTTAAAACGAGGTACTGCTTTGGCTTCTTGTCTAGTGGTCACCGAATCAAAGCCATAGGTATGTGGCTTTCTAGCACTATGGCCAAACAAGGTTCTCATTTGTTCATTGATTATTCACAGTCGGTTACAAAGTGATGTCACGGTTTGTTGACAATGTTTAACTATAATCACCCCTAAAATAAACACCTTAGCCTTTGTCTGTAAACATGCATATACTTACATACATTGCCACAAATGCCTGATTAAACAGTGTGTGCCTTTTAAAGATAAACGTTGTTTTAAGTATCTTTAGTTCTGTTCTGTTTTTCTATTTTAGCAGTTGAACAATAGAAGCAGTGGTTGGCATGTTTCCAAAGTAAGCAGGAGAAAGCTTGACAGAACTCACTTTTTTCTCAGTATTGTTAAACAGCAGTTGAAACTATGAAGCAATAATAACATTCTGGCACAAGAGGGCACACGTGGTGGCAGACCATGGAATTTCTTTTTCTGCAGGAATGGATTCTTGAGGACATAAGAAGAGCCATGTTGGCCAGACAAAGGGTTCACCTAGTCCAGCATTCCGTTCCCATAGTAGTCCAAGAACACCTCCAACCCAAGTACCCCAGCAGCTGGTGTATATATATGGAAGCAGCATATAGTCATCAGGACTGCTAGCTATTGGTAGGCTCCTTCTCCATGAATGTGTCCATTCCTCCCCAGAGCAATCCAAATTGATGGCCATCATTACATCTTATGGAAACAAATTCCATAGTTTAACTGTGTGCTGTGTGAAAAAGTCTTCCTTTTTTCTGTCCTGTATCCCCTGCTTCATGGGAAGATCCCAGGTTCTAGTATTATGGGAGAAGGAGAAAAATGCTTTGCTTTCTACTTTGTGCTCACCATGTATAATTCTGTACAGCTTTATCATGTCCCCCTTAGTTGCCTTTTTTAGCCAGACAATCTCAGCTATTATAACCATTTTTCACAGGGGAGTTGTTCCACCCCTTTGATAGTTTTAGTTGCCTTTTTCAGTGGTTTTGCTTACTTTATAATGTTCTTTTTTTGGTCCAGTGACCAGAACTGTACATAATATTCTAAGTGCAGTCACAGCATACATCTGTACAAGGGCAGTATGACATTGGGAGTTTTATTCTCAATTCCTTTCCTAATTGTGTCTAACTCTGAGTTTGCCTTTTCATAGCAGCCACACACTGGAATGGCATTTTAATGGCACTGTCTACCACAACCCCAAGATCCCCTTCTTGGTTACTCACTGCCTTCTCAGAGCATATTAACTCATAGTTGAAATTGGGATTTTCTTTCTTTTGCCCCAACATGCATTATTTTACACTTGCTTATACTGAACCTCAGTCAGCCTTTTAGTGCCCATTCTTCCAGTTTGGAGAGATTAATTGGAGCTCTTCACAATCCTTTTTGGTTTTAACTGCCCTCAGTAGTGGGAGGTCATCAGCAAACTTCACTACTTTAATACTCATTCTTAATTCCAGATCATTTATGAATAAGCTGAAAAGCATTGGTCTTGATGCAGATCCCTGTGAAACCCCACTGTTATAGCCGTCCTCTATTCTTTAACCAGTTAGTGATCCATAAGAGGACCTTCCCTGTTATTTCATGACTACTTAATTTGCTCTGGAGACTTTCTGAAGTCTTCATCAGATGTCTTTTGGAAGTCCAAGTTAATAATCTCTACTGGATTATTTCTGTCCATGTATTTATTGACTTTCTTAAAGAACTATGAAAGAGTAGAGCTTTTGAAAAACAGATTATGACATACAGCTTTTATAGGGCAGTAGAATGTTCTGCAGTTAAGAAAATCGTTGGATATGCATGGAGAAGCTGTGCTAGTTAGTCAGTTTGCTTACTGCATTTATATCTTGCCTTTCCTCCAAGAAGCCTCTCCATTTTTTCCCCACAACCAACCCTGTGTGGTTGGTTAGGTTGAGGGTTGGAGTCATCCAGTGAGCTTCATGACCAAGTGAGGACAAGAACCCAGGTCCCCTGAGCCCCTGTCCAGCACTCCAGCTGCCATGCCAGACTGGTGGTTGCTTATGGTCTCATTCTTTTCTGACCTTGTTAAACATAGCAGCCTATGCCCTTTTCCTTAGTTTGAGAGATGTTGGTTGGGGACATGCAAATAGGTCTGAGATAAGTGTATGGATGTGTATAGTGTTGCTTGATGTCTTAAAAGTGCTTATGGCTCCCAAAAACAGGAATGAAAGAAGCAGTGGTATTTCCTCATACCATTACTAGAAGAGGAGTTGTTTTCAGGTGTACTGTCTTTCAAGTTTGAAGTTGCAGATTCCACAAATTTGTCTCTTTAACTCCCTTCCCCCCCCCCCCCCCCCCCCCCCACACACACAGTCTTCTGACTGTGTGTTTGCTACCCATTCCAGGACTACCATGGCAAATGAAGATTTCAAATGAATTCCTGATACATTTAAAGAACATGTCTTGGCATTTGCAGTCTTGCCCCATCTGCCTTGCAATATCTATCTGCCAGCCATGTCACCTTCTCATCACTCCTTTAGTGTGCATGAAGAGGGGCCCTATATTCAATTTGACCAATGTCTATAATGTTCTTCCTGATTTAGCCCAGAATTCACTGGGTTTGTAGGAACTCTACATGCATATGTTGGTATGCCTGTTGAGCCCCTTATGATTCTGAGGAATGTGACCAGAATACAAAATTCTCTTTCTGGGTCTACAGAGTTGCCCTGACTATGTGCAGTACAGTTTTTTTAGATTTCCAGAGAATGATACTCCAACTCCAGGTTTACTAAGAACAAGATTGTTTATTATTGCAATAATACCAAACAAGCTAGCTAGGTGGGATTCCAATCAGCTGGGTTCAAAGAGAAAAAGCAGAATCCCCCTTGAAAGCAGTCTGAACTAAAGTACAAAAGAAGTGGCTAGCCTTTATAGATTATAAATTTACAGTATTGTCATGCATGCATGCATGCAGCATTCTACACAATTAAAAGGTATGATTACAGGACTAATATTGTTTACACAGGTGTTAAGAAATAATGAGGCATAGTGAGCTACTAAGTATTCCTGTCTGGATGGCAAAGGTTTCATCTCTGTCTGACATAAAAGCATAAGCTTATTATAACCTCTTGCCTGCAGGAGTAATGCCTGATAAGGAACATTTGAGGCTGTAGATATGCATTGTTCATGGCCCTCGTCCCATCTTAATATCAGAGAAACTCCTCAGCTTCATGAAAGCAGACTGTCAGGGTCAGGGGAATGCTGACTAAAGCCATATTGTACTGCTGTAAGCAACTATTCTTTAATGCCAAACAAAGCAAGCACTTTGAAGACCTATATAGGCTTATTTATTGGGGGTTAGACCTGTTACAGAAGCTGTGAACAGAAATCTTGGGTCAGGGATATCAACTTGGACAGCCTTAAAGAAGAATTAGACCAAATTGTGGAGGATAAGGATGACTATTAGTTATAATGGTACTAGTATCTTGGAACACCTGTTGCTGGGTTAGATGAGGAGGGCTTGTTATTGCATTCATATCCTGCTTGTGGACTTCCCATTAGGGCATCTGGTTGGCCATCATGGGAGCAGAACACTGGACAAGAGGGGCAAGATTGGTTTGATCCAGCATGGCTTTCATTATGACTGTCTGCTGAAGATAGTTGGGTCATTGTAAGCTTCTGAGTATATGTACATGATTCAGGTATGCAGGGAGCTTGGATAAACAGTCTCCCCTTGGGATTGTTTTCATGGACTATTAATCCCAAAGTTTAGCATAGCATCCCCTCTCCCCACCCTTTAGAGTCACTTTTCTTTACTCTGAATTACAGAGCAGGAACCTTTGACCACATGAACTCTGACACTGTGACAGTGGTCTATGAAGAGCCACTGTTCCCAGTCATTTTTAGCAGGATGGTTAGTTATTGTGTTTGCTCAAGGACTGTGTTTCTTTTGTGTCTTTGTACAGATTGAATACTTGCTTAGGAAACTGACAGAAGCCATGGGATTAGGCTGGCACCAAGAACAGTTTGAACATTACAAGATCAGCTTGGACACCAATTGGGAAGGTCTTTCTGCCTGGGAATTGATTGAACTCATTGGAAGTGGTCGGTTTAGCAAAGGAATGGATGGACAAACAGTGTCTATGGCAATTAATGAAGTCTTCAATGAACTTATATTAGATGTATTGAAACAGGTAAGATCTGCATAAAATGCAGAAAATACTAGAATGAATGATTAATATCCAGAGTCTTTTACATCTGTACACTATCCATAATTTTTAAGTGTTCTCAAAATGTTTGCACTAAGAAAAGCAAAATTCTGTGACCTACAGAAAAATAATTCATATTAATATGGCCTGAATGCCCTATTTTACATCAAATTAATCTGCTTTTGCTTGTCTTGTGTGGGACAAAGAAAAATAAAGGGACCTGATTGCTAGAAATCCTTCATTGTCTCCCCTGTGGCTTCTGTGACTTCACCACAATGTTAAAGTTCATATTTGCAGTCTTAACAACTAGAAGACTGTTTTTATTATTTTTTTAAAGGAAGTTCAGTTTCTTTAGGGTACTGCACTTTGTGTCCAGTATCAATTTCTACAGCTTTTCAGTGCAGTTAGAGAATGCACTATAGTCTTCCCATACCCACCCATTCTGCAACATCACCTCTAAATAAAGATTGAAAAGAATAATTCAAGTTTTCACGTGGTATTCTTAGCTTAGCTCAGGTTTGGGGAGGCTATTGACTACTAGGGAAATACAGCTACATTAAGCCATGTCAACACATTTCTAGTGGTTGTACATAAAGGGAAGGAAAGAAGAAGGGATGGTAATCAAAATGTTTACTGTATCATTTTTATTCATAGAAATGTGTCACTGCAGGTCACTCATATGATGGTGACCTTGTTTGGATCATACAGCATTCTGATTACAGTGACTGGGTTTGTGCTACTGGCCAACATGCTGATTACCTTGTCTTAATTTATGTCTAATATGTTGATGATTATCAGGGTTTTCATTATCAGGGTTTGTTAAACTACAGGGCAAGAAATTTTTGTAGAATTTTTGTAGAATTTCCTGAGTGGAACTTGGAAATTCTGCAAAAAAAGTGCGTGCTACTTACTGTGGTTCCTGAAGTGTGAATATGACTTGAAGCATGCAGTCATGTGGTAGGCTAAAGAGGAAGCAAGAATTGTCTCAGAGGTCCAGGTGCATGGGTGAGGTGGTGGCGGCAGTTTTCTTAAGTGAAGCACCAGTTGTGGTTTAGCGTCAGTGAAACTAAATCTGTTAAGCCTTGCTTCACATTTGACCCAAAGCTGTCAGTTGGTGCCTCAGCATTTCCAGGGAAATAATACTCTTTGTGCAGCACTGAACAGAAATATCTTTTAACTAGTTCATTTAATATAGATTCTGATTAAATAACCATAAGAGGATGTGCTATACTGTTGGATGGAAGTTGATGGACTAACCAATTTTATTCCTGAAGCTGGAATATTTTATGCCTAAAGCAGCCTTTCCCAATCTGGTGCTTTCAGGTGTTTTGGACTTCAATTTATATGAGCACTAACCAGCATGGTCAAGAATGCTGGGATTTGTAGTGTAAAACATCTGGAGGGCACTGGGCTGGAAAAAGCTGTTCTAACGCAGGTAGGTGATTTAGCTTAAGAAAACAGATATTCTTATCTCAACATTTCCTGGACTTTGCAGAATTGGGAAAATGTGCCAGAATGGTTTCTCTTGTGGTTTTTACATGCTACTGGAAAATATTAAATTCTAAACAGCAAAACTTTTCTGCTTCCACCAGTTTTCACTCACAGGATATTATATATCCAGGTCTTTTCTTTTATGTAAAGCACCTTAATTTATCTTACCACAGATTCCTCTTTTATAAAGCAGCAGCTTCAAGGGGAACCTTTCAAGAAGTGAAAAAATTCTTGTGAGGCTAAGGAGCAGAGGGGATAGGGCACATAACTATAATTCTACTGAACTGCTTTCCTAAATTCTTGTCAGTAACCTTTCTAAAGCGAGCAGATTTAATGCTTATATAAATAATGGAATGGCCTGTCTTTAAACTTGCATTTCTCTCTCCTTCTGTGTGGTACCATTTTGAATAGCTTTACCCAAATTGGATAAACCCCAACAGGTATGTGTTTCACTCTTTTGAATGTACAGTAGAGCCATTTTGACACCTGTATCCATAATTAGAACCTAAGTAGTACATGTTGAAGGTAATCTGTGTACCTCAAGGGTCAAACACTTGTGTGTTTTGATTTTTAAAAATGAATTTCCTGTAGAATAGGAGGACAAAATATACTACCCCAACCCCATGGGGCCTTTATTGCCCTTCTAAACTTGGAAATGAGATATGATGTGAATACACAAGTATCTTGGGATTGCTAATCAAGATTTGGGAGTCCATCTTCACAAGAATTTATATGTTCATTCAGTGCATACATATTTTGAAGTAAACCAGTTGATGGAAGTTGGGGAGACCATCACTGCACTGTGTGAACTATGTGATACTTGTGTGAACCAGCATGCAATAGTAATATTTAAGCATGATTTAATATTAGTGTCAATCATGGCTTAATATTAAACCATGGTTTGACATTGCCTGAAGAAGCAGTCAGGAATGTAATGTTCATTCACATAAACAGGCTTGTAGAATTTTTGGCCACTTTTTAATTTCTAACTGGCATGAATTAGATGTCTTCACAGGAAAAGCATTAAATTATCTTGATGAACTTTCAGTAACTATACCTTTGAAATTTTATCTTTGAACATTTACACAGATTATATTAACAGACCTGATCCATGTCTGTTGAAAAAAGTACATCTCTGTTGACTGTGTTTGGATTTCAGATCAGAATTCTAAACCAGGAGTTCTAATGTTAAGTAAATTAATAATTTTATATTTTAAAGGGTTATATGTGGAAGAAAGGCCACAGAAGGAAAAACTGGACAGAACGTTGGTTTGTCTTAAAACCCAATGTTATATCATATTATGTGAGTGAAGATTTAAAAGATAAAAGAGGAGATATAGTACTGGACAGCAACTGTACTGTAGAGGTAAAAATAAATAAATGAAATGTTATACCCATGGGAATGTTCTCTTTTCTAGGAAGATGGTCACCAGGATAAATGAATTTTTCCCTTAAGAATTGTTTCTATCCCTTGAACTATTTCTGAGGTTTTAAACTTTATTGAGAACACAATCAAATGACCGGTGTCTTTGTTCTTATGTCCAAATATAGAAAAAGAGAACACAGAAAGATGTAAAGAAGACACAGATTTCATCAGCAATGGAATCTGCATATATTTCACTGGCCCTGTCCAAAATACTGAAATTTGTTAGATGGATTGAATGAACCCTTTCTTTTGATAGCTGTCAAAAGAAAGTGCACCTGAAAAGGGAGTTGGAGGTAGATCTCCCTTGTCCATATTATCCAGAGGCTCAAGGAAGTGTGACAAAGGTGGAGGGGACTGAGAACAGTAAGGCTGATAATAAAAAGCTAGAGCTTCCCCAAAGGGGCAGATCCTCCTTTTGAGAAAAAATCCCCTTCACTGCTGTGCTTTTCATTTGATAACTAATCAGTTGATGACTGTCAGATAGGCACGAAGGAACCTATTTGCAGCCTCTGGAACCTGTTTGTTCCAGAAAACAGTAAAAAATGGAAGTTGGACAATTTGATACTGCTAGCGTGGAAATTACCTTAACTGATAAGATTTATTGATGTTTATATAAGTATAGTTTTGAACAGTGCTTTTTTTGTAAGAAAAAAAGGTGCCGGAACTCATGAAATTATTTACCTTTCGCACATAGTTGATCACTGTACACACACCCACACACGTCAGTTGTGTAATGAAACATAACAGTCACCACCCACAGAAAGCACTCAGCGTGTGACCACACAACCAATCACAAGCCGAGCAGTGCCACAAGCCAAGCAGCGCCATCACAACCAGTGCAGGCGAAGTACACATGCGTTGGATTCAACACACAAGCAGCTCACATGCACCGTTTTAATGATTTTGCCGCCAACCTGCTACACTCGACAGGGCGATTCAAATCCACGTGGACCAAACATCAAATTTTCAAAAGTTACTTTTAAAACTTGGAAAATCTGTTGAAAAAAGATGCTGGAACTCTGTTCCGGTACGTTCTATGACCAAAAAAGCACTGGTTTTGAAGAGGAGTTCCATACATTCAGAGAATGAATTTGCTTGTGAAGGAGATCTCTCTGCACATGGTTCTCCACCCCCCCCCCACACACATACACACTAAGTGGGAGATTTTGTTTGTTGTGGGGTTTAGTTATCTGCACTGTATAGTCATATTTCTTCTGAACTAATTTTTGCAAGAAGAGTTATATTTACAAACACTTGTATGTGTACAAGTACAATGCTATACTGTCTGTCTATTAATAGCAAAATTTTCTTTTTATTAGGCCTTGCCTGACAAAGATGGGAAGAAATGCCTCTTTCTTATAAATAGCTTAGAGAAATGTTTTGAAATCAGTGCCTCTGATAAGAAGAAGAAACAGGAGTGGATTCAAGGTAAGGATGAACTGGCAACTTTAGAATTTTAAAGCTATTTGGGGGAAAAGTCCCCAAACATCTGTTTGCATTGTGAAATTTAGGGATATCTGTAAACTCAGAAAAAAGAAAAAATTGCAAAAGCTCCTCTAACTACTGCCTTTTTAATACCAAGAAATCTTTTTGTTAGGTGATAGAAGCTGCAAAAATATCAAGTGTTGGTACTTGTACCACCCCAATATAGTCAACAATTTTTCAGTTCTGACATGGGTGCTCTGTACTGTTTCTAGTGTGTACATGCTGGATCTCTAACGCCTTGACATTAGAAGTAACAACATACAGAAATAAACTAGCATTTTGCTTTTGTGGCAGGAAAACCATTTGGGCTATAATTATGTTGGCTCAAAATTGAGACAGTAACTTGCCTGAGAGTGTGCTGGTCATTCAGCAGTACAGGCAGTACAGACTCTGTTGTGTAGTACAGTCTCAGAAAAATTATGGGCTTTGGGGAGTAAAAGGAGAGATGATGTCAAACAGTGCTATCTTATTTCACATCATTCCTACTTCTGTTTGTATGTTTACTATTTTTAATGTTTTATAAGAGCAACAGGCCTAAGTAATAAACCCCAACGTCCCAGACTCATTTTTTAGTATGAGAACAGACAGGAAACAGCAACTGCTTAGTATCTTAGGACCTGAGAGACCCAAGTTAAAATCTCTAGCCCTATCAGAGACTGATGGACTTATGATCTGGTCAAGCAGTGTGCTATTACTGAATTATCACTTTGCCGTGATACTAAAAAGCTGAACACACTGTATACTCTAGAGTGCAAAGTTCCCTTTTTATTGTTAACCAGTGTTGCAGCTTGCTCAGTACTGCTGTCTGTGCTTATATTTATCATCATCATCATCATCATCATCATCAACAACAACACATTTTTCTATACCATCCAATAGGTGACACTCTCTGGGTGGTTCACAACAGTTCTTGAAAACCAAATGCAGGAAATAAAACATTATATAACATTTCATTCTACAGAATTTAAAACAGTTTAAAGCAGCTTAAAAAAGGTAACTAACATGAATGCCCCATCCTGTGGCAGTAAATACCATTAAATGCCTGGTAGTGGAGGACAGTGTTAAGTGGTGATAGCATGAGCACCAGGAAGGCTTCAGAGGGGAAACTGTAAGCCAAACTGCAGAAGAAATCGCCATCTATTGAGTCAGTTCAGCAGTCCATCTTTCTGGCCACTCTCACTTGCATCTCAGGTAGAGTTCTTTCCTAGTAACTGTACTGAAGATCTTTTCACTGGAGGTGCCTTAGGATCACCTGCTTGCAAATGGTGGACTCTACTGCTGAGCAACAGGCTTTCCTGAAATCTCTTTCATACTTGGATTCGAATAAGGTTAACCTGAAAGTAAACCCCACTTTCAGTGCGATAGGTGGAATTAGGTATAAGTAGGCTTTGTTAGGTTGCCATTCTGTGGGCTGCATGTGAGCTGTAAGTTCTGGGAACATTGGTTCTGGGAACGTTGGAAGTTGCCTTTCCTGAGTCAGACCACTGGCCTGCTTAGCTGAGTATTAGGGTTAGGATTGGGACTATCCAGGGTTTCAGGCAGGACTCTTTCCCTGCCCTACCTGGAGATGCTGCTAATTGAACCTGTGACCAGTTTCATGCAAAGCATCTTGACTTCTGAGGGAAAGTACCACACAACTGTTTCCTGGAAATGTTAGGCAATGACACTTTCACAAGCCACCAGATGTAACTGTATGATGCGTAGATCTGACCAAGACAAATGTACCTTGCAATTAAAGAGCAATACATTACAGTTAGGTAATAATCTTTAGTTTCAAAGTGAAGATAAATTTATACACTTTCATGTGGAACCATTTTCATTGTTCTACCGTACTTTGTGGAGAAATTACAAGGCATTATGATCATCAGACATCTCCCTTCCTTGTAGGCAAATATACTTGCCTGTGTATAAATCTTTATTGTGAAATATCTTGAAAACTTTAGCCAACCAGACCTTTATCACCTGTTTTCTAATTCACTAATCAAAATATGTAAGAATTAGCACATTTTATCTTGGAGGTTAATAATTTCCCAACATTTGTAGACCAGTGTTATTTATGACCATCACACCAGCATGTGGATCACAGATATGAATACAAGACCAGTCATCCTGGCGTACTGGCTTCAGTGTAGAAGTTAAATCGTAAGGCATGACTGGAAGATACCAGACTAACAACTGTAGTAAAGGAATGTCTATTCTTAAATCAAAAAATAATATTGTGGCTGTTAAATAAATAGTGCATAATTTTTCTCTCTGCATTTTTTTTATAAACAATTCAAACAGCTATTCAGACAACTGTAAACCTGCTAAGATTAAATAGCCCTCCCCCTCACAAGGAAGCACGCCAGAAACGTAAAGAATTACGCCAGAAACTGCAAGCTGAACAAGAGGAACTGGAGAGGCAAATGAAAGAGCTGCAAGTGGCCAATGAAAACAAACAGAAGGAACTGGAGATGGTTCGAAAGGTGGGCACAGGCCTCAGGCCTCCTCTCAGTGACGTTCTGTCCTGTTAGAACAGAGACTACAATGCACTACTCTTTTCAGTGCCAGGCAAAGACCTCCTTATTTTCCCAGCAAATTTAGTTTTGGTCTGTTTTAAACCCTGTACTGGATTTTAAATCTTTGTAATACTGTTAGGCCTCACTCTGAACTTTTACTTTCATGTTAATGCTATAGTTTTAGTCAGTGCTTTTTTTGTAAAAAAAAAAAAAAAAAAAAAGGTCCTGGAACTCACGTCTTTGGGTCACACTTTTACACAATGGTCTCCCCCGGCAGTAAGCACTCAGCACGCGACCACATGACCGATCCCAAGCCGAGCAGCGTCCCAAGCCGAGCGGCGCCCTCACAATCAGCGCCGACAATCAGCGCTGACAAACAAGCAGCCCGCAGGCACTATGTTAATGATTTTTGCCGCCAACCTGCTATGCCCATTCACAATCACTTGGAAAAATCCGTCAAAAAAAGGTGCTGGAACGCTGTTCCGGTGTGTTCTGTGACAAAAAAAAGCCCTGGTTTTAGTCAGTTAAAGTGTTATACTGTATTTTATGCTATCTTTTATGTTTTTAATTGTTTTGAATTGTTGTGAACCACCCAGAGAGCTTTCTCTGTTGGGCACTATGAAAATGTAATACTTTGATTAGGAAAGATCCCTTGCCTCAAGAAGTACAACTTGGAACTTCTTCAGTCAAAATATACTTCCAAAGTACATAGTCTGCTCCTGGTAAAATTTACTAAATATAGTAATAGAATGTCCTGGCAGCATGCTCTAAAAAGTCTATCTCAGATATAATCATTGCACCATGTGAATTATCTTCTCTCTAAAACAATTTTGAAATGGAGATGGGAAAAAGAAACTGAATGTGTTTGTTTTTTGTTACTGAATTGCACCAGAAAGTAGATAATCTTGCACAATTCTTCTTTCATAGCAGAAGTTCCTGAGAGGCTATTCTTCTCTGCTCCCCCCCCCCACCCCGGCTCAGAGGAGAAGAGGAAAGTTTCTACCCACAAAGGCTGAGAGAGGGTGCATGTGCTGTATTAGCATGAAATAAGAGCTTTTATCCAATACAAAAATGTGTAATAAAGCCACAGTTTCTTGATTGGGGAAATCTGGATAATGTTGTGCTGTCATTCCAGCAAGTTGAATGTTGCTCACCTTGATTATCTTGCAGTCAAGGGGAGGAAGATTCCTTGGTGCTGCCAAGCACATGGCTCATCCTTGAAGGGAATTTTCAGGCCTGGGAGAAGATAACAGGCTCAGGTCATTGGCATAGATACATAGAATCACATAGAATTGCACTTTATACAATAAAAAGATAATTAGGGCTCACTAGCTGATTTGATCTTAGGGTTCTCAATGTTGTTAGGGTAGTTCTACTGTGAAACTGTATCTGCAAGCTGCCCAGAACAGCTTTTCTTATTTGTGTAGTCCAAGGGTTTCCAACCCTTTTCGACTCACTAATGTATTTAGAAAATTGAGAAATTGCTGTTCCCATGTGGTTTGCTGCATAACAAATGCCATGGGAGCCTGCTTGTCAAGAAGTGGTAGTGAGGATAGAAATAGTGAGGCTAGAGACTGGGAAGGAGGTGCCCCTTAGTTCGCTCAGACCTTATGGTCCGCACAGGTTTCTCCTCTTTGCTCCTTCTCCCTCCTCTTCTCTCTCCATTCTCAGTCTCTAGCCTTGATATTTTTCTTCCCCAACCCTTTTCCTGCCTTTTCTCTCCTGCCTAAACCACTAGCCATTTTCTTTCTCTCCCTTCCTTCCTAGCTCCCAGTCTTGCTCTTTTTCTCCCACTCACCTTTTTATCTTGCTGTTTCGTCTCACTTCCAGCCTCTACCCTTGCTATTTGTCCCTCTACCAAGCTCTTTACATCTCTGTTTTGCTCCATTCCAAGTCCCTTTCTTCACTCTTTCCCTACCCTTTTGTCTTGCTTTCTTTTCTTGCACACTGAACAAGGAGAATCTGGCACCCACATTTTTTTCTATTTTTAATTATTTTTAAGGGGACTAGGAGTGAAGAGCTGTGGAGGTGTCACTGGGGTGCCATGCTGGGGACCCCCTGGTATAGTTTTAAGAGCTGTGCAGTTTTCCTTCTAATGCATTGAACTTAAAGTATTTCATAATAATGGCTAGCACTCATGCAGAGACAGAGTAATACATGAGTACAGTGCAAAGATGTGGGAGTTCCTTCTTTATGAGTTTTAAGCCACACTCAGATGAAAGGAAGTGTTCTAGTGTCAGGCAAAAATATAATTCTGAGTTTGCTGGATGCAGACTGGAACTACTAGTAGGTAACAGACAACGTAGTAGTGAACTGAGGCAAAAATTAACTGTTCTAAATGACTGTTACAAGAAACTGAAGTTTGAGAAAAGCACAGTCTGCCACTGGTATAGTGTGTGTGTGGCAAGAGTGGGGACTTGTTGGAAGATCACGTACTGAATTTTATTGTTGACAGAAGGTGTATTCATAAAGGTTCATTTTTTAATCCTGTGACGCGTATTCAGCCTATTTAGTTTACCTAAATGTCTGATAGCTTATTTAGCATGGTGAAAGAATTATGGGGCCAACAAGGGCATCATAGTAAAGCTGGAGGAATTTCCCCACAAGTATTTATTTTGCTACTGCTTTCTTATTGCCAGTTTAGCACAAAATGCCAAACGTTTTAGAAACCAGTTAGATATGGCTAGTGGTTGTGGCCAAGCTTGAATCCAGGGTCTTGTTCTTCAACATTCCTTCTTTTATTGTGTAACATAAGACCGCATCTGTTGGTACCTTATCCTGACTGCACAATAGGAAGGCTGGCAGTGTGTACAGGATAGCCAAAAGAAAGTCACAGAGAGGTTGCTGCTGCAAGGAACAATCCAGACACTCCTTTGTTGCTCACAGAAGCATTTGAGCATGTGCCAAGCAGGGTCCCAGCCATTGCTGGTAGAATTGCAAATCAAAGTAATGCTGGCCTGTGCCTTCTGCATGAGTCTGGCATGATATATGTGCTATCCTAGGGTTTTATGGTCTGTACACAGTACCAGAGCTTTTCCTCATTAGCCTAGGCCAGTGATGGTGAACCTATGGCACGTGTGCCCAAAGGGGCACGCAAAGCCCTCTCTGTTGGCATGCAATCACCCCAGCAGCCATGTGCATATTTGGAAAGATTAAGGGCGCCAGGCAATGGCATCACTCATTAGCCACACAGAGCCCTCTTTGTCAGCACAGGATGGATCGCCCAGATCCCCCAGCAGTCATGCGCATATTCAGAAAGATGAAGGGCACCAGGCAACAATGTCACTCATGGCTGGTCAGTGAGCTGCCAGGGATTTGCTTGGACTCCGATTTTAGCAGAAGGTAGGACAGGTAGGAAATACACTCAGGTAGGAAATACACTCAGATGCCTTTTCAGGGCAGGCCAAAAGCTGGTAGTCAGTGGAACGTTGCTCCCTTGTGCTGGTGGTCAGCAAATTCAGGTTGGCAGTTTACGATAAATAAGTGGGTTCTGAGTTGCAGTTTGGGCACTCAGTCTCTAAAAGGTTTGCCATCACTGGCCTAGGCTATCCTTTCCTTGTTCTGTTTTAGCACGTGGCACCACTCATTTGCATGGGTGTGATATATTAAATCTTATTTCCTGCTCAACAAGTATCTGTGGACAGTGCATCCTTTATCCTACGTGTCGCTTGCTTTTTGTGAGCTGTTCTCTAGTTTATGTGGGTTAATGCATTCAGAATGTGGTTTTAATTTTTTTTTTACTGTTTTCTTAATATAGATAAGATACAGAAAGAAAAAGGACAGAAGAAAAAAATGAAATAAAATTGCCAAGGGATTTTAAACAAATATAACCAATACATTCATAACCTGCAAATTTTCAAACAGACCAAAAATTTCTATTTTTCTGTCAGTCAATATTCTGTTGAAGCTCGAAACAAGAATGGCTATAGTTTTCTATACTGACAAATTTTCCAGTCACTTCAAATCAATTATAAATTATTAACAACATTTTACAAGCTTCCTTTTACATCATATTAATCACACTGGACATAATAGAATTTCCATTTATCATTAAATTCTTCAATTGGTTAGTCTTTAAATTCTTTAGTTAATTTAAATTAACTAAATTTAAAAATTCTTTAATTTTGCCATCACTGCATGCTCTGCCAACTTATTTTTCCAGTCTTCAATAGTTGGGCATTCTGGTGTTTTCCATTTAGAAGCAATTATAAGTCTTGCTGCTGCTGTCAGATATTTAAATAACTCTGACATGTTCTTTGAAAAAGTCTTTGGTATTATGTTCCAAAGCATATTCTGAAGACTTATAGGACATTTAGTTGTAAAAGTTTTTTTTTTATTTCTGCATGTATCAACTTCCAAAATCTTTCAGTTATTTCACAAGTCCACCACATATGGTAGAAAGTCCCATCTATTTTATTACATTCCAACATTTTCCATTGTAGTTCTTCTCTATTTTTATATACCTTTTGAGCTGATATACCATCGAAAAAACATGCCAATTATCTCTTGGTGCATAACTAGATATAATTTTAATGTCTTTCTTCCGTAAAACTTTCCATTTATTTCTTCTCCGAGATTTTGCATCCAACTTGTCATCCATTTCTTATCTTGCCGATTTTCAATATCATGTTGAAGTAACTACTTTTAGAGTCTTTCTAATAGATGATCATTTTGTTGCATAATCAGCTTTTTGGAATCTTTCAGGTCTCTTGCAGTGCCTTTCCCAATTGGTAATAAACAAGCCACTGTGTATTTTTTCCTTCATCTTTTATTTGTTGCCAAGATTTAGCTTGTCCTTGTTAGTCAGTCATATCCCCATAGTTTATAAAGTCATTTTTTCCTTAAGTATTTTCCATATGCTTCAACGAAGGACACTGAAGGAGAAATCAGAGGACTAATTCTTTTTCTTATAGAACACCACATTTTTATTAGGCTGTCTCTTAATGCATGATTATTATTTGATACCAGTTCTTTTTAAGTGTTTGGCCCATAAGCAATTGTGTATTCCTCCTTCAAGATCTGCTATTTCTAACTTCACTAGCCTATCATTATCCAGTCTGAAATACAAACCAGGCCAGCTGTGTAATAGTATAGCTTTAAATTAGCTATTGTGAGATCTTCTCTCTCCTTTTCATCTTGAAGGATTTTGAATCTAATCCTTGACTTTTTGCTATCCCAGATAAAAGTATTCAATTGTTTTTGCCACTCTTGGAAAGATTTTCCCAGTATTGAAATTGATGTCATCTGAAATAGAAAATTCAATTTGGATAGTACATTCATTTGTATAATAGAAATTCTTCCCAATCTCGATACTTTTAATTTGGTCCATTTTTTTGCAGATCTTTTTGAATCTTCATCCATGTTGTTTGGTAATTGTCTTGAAATAATGTACCGTTATGTCCCATTACATTTATCCCTACATATTTGACCAGGTTTGAAGTTATTTCACATCCTGAAATCTTTTTTTATATTCTTCTCTTCCCGTTTCATTGCAAACTTGAATATTTTATTAATCTTATAGACTGAATAAAGTAAAAAAATCTATTTGATCTACTATATAAAGATTAGATTGATGTGGATTTAAAATGGTCAGAACTATATCATTGGCATAACATTTCATTTTATATTCTTCTCCATCTACTTTTAAGCCTTTAATTTTTGATGCTTAACTTATTTCTTTGCCAAAATTTCCAGTACTTCAATAAATAAAAGAAGTGATAAAGAGCATCCTTGGTGTGTTCTCTTCTCCTTTTGAAAACTGTTAGTACTCCATTAATTAAAATCCTAACATTTTGTCTGAATCCTAGCATTCAGAACATTTTGAATGTAGTGTAGGCTGCTGGACTTTCTGACTTTTAGGTCTTTCCTAAACTTATGGTTTCACAATTGATTGTTCAACTAAGAATTAGTCCAGCCTGGAAGCAAATACCTTCCTGGTTTTAATTTTTATTTTATATCCTGCCTTTTCATATTTCCCCCCAGAATGGCTTACAACACATTTAACATTACAAATACAATCAAGCAAAAACATTGCAATGTTAAAACTACATAATAGTTTGGACCCATGCATATACACAAATCAGTAGGAAATATCGCCTCTCTCTCTTCCAATACAGCAACTTGAAGAAGCTGCAACTCGAGCTTCAGAGGAAGAGAAGAAGCGTCTGCAGACTCAAATGGAACTGCAAGATAGATTCAGTCTTGAGCTAGAGAGAGAGAAAATGGTAAGTGTCTCCGAACAACAAAACAATATGATGGTGATTAAGGTATTACTAGTCCATGTATGTGGATAAAAAGGAGAAATCAGAGACAAGCTTATGAGCCTGTGGGAAGGGGGTTCTTGGTAGAGAGAGGAAAGGACTTCCCTCACAGAAGGATGAATGCTGCCATTTGTTCTGGACCAGGAACTGGGAGACTGTCTCAGCCCAAGGGCCAGACTCAGTTTGAAAAAGCTCTTGGATGCTGCATTCTGGTGAGAATGTAGGGGTGAAGGGGCCAAACACTCCAGAAAGTACTAGCATCTGGTATGTTAACTCTCACATTGCCAGTATCTGAGCCCTGAGAGAGGCATTTCAGCCTTTTAGAATGGCAAAAGCAGCACAAGGGCCAGGAAGCACCAGCCCATTGGTGCTTGGGAAAGGGGCTGAGGCCATTTGGTAATTCCTGAGGGCTGGCTTGGTATCCTAGGGACGCTAGATTTGGCTCATAGACCTGAAGATTCTGACCCTTGTTCTGAAGAATGATGAAATAATCCTTTATATTGCTAGATAAGACAGAAAATGGAAGAGCAGGTTGCACAGAAGTCATCTGAGCTAGAACAATATTTACTGAGAGTCCGGGAACTTGAGGAAATGTATAAGCAGCTGCAGGAGGCCTTGGAAGATGAGAAACAAGCACGCCAAGATGAGGAGACTGTCAGGAGACTTCAAGCCAGGTCAGTTTGTAATTTTATAAAACAGGAATAAATTGCGGGCTCGACAGTATGGCATGAAGGGGCTGCCATTCACTTACCTAACACTTACCCAGCAGAATGCCTGAAGAGGTATAGCATTGCCGGATGACAAAGCAATGTTAATATTCCTATGCTGAGGCAGGATCCACCATTCTTCAACCCATGTGAAACATTTCTTCTGGCATTCTATAACATGAAGGGCAGGAGAACAAGATCTATTAAGCTGGAGTGGTCTGTAGTCAAGAAATTGGGTTAATGTAAACTGAGCTATGTGCTTAAGGGGATGATAGAAAAATCAGAAAGGGAGCAGCTATTTTGGTCTGTGAGGTAATTTCAACTCCAAGTGTAGTAGGTTGGAGTATGAAGACCTTCCACTGATTTGTTTTAGACTTAATCCTTCCTTGGCCAAGTAGCTCATCTGGAAAAGAGATGCAGATTGGACAGTGTTTTTCTAAGTATACATTCCTCAGTTGGTATATACTCTTTCTAGGCTGCTGGAAGAAGAGTCCGCCAAGAGAGCAGAACTGGAGAAATGGCATTTAGAGCAACAGCAGACCATTCAGGTGACTGAAGCTGAGAAGCAGGAGTTGGAAAATCAGAGAATGGCGAAGGAACATGCTCTTCAAGTTGCCATGCAGCAGTTAGAACAGCTGGAATTGGATAGAAAGCAAGCACTTGAACAGTATGAGGTGAGCTAATGCAAACGTGCATATCTGCTTGACTTGGACATCTGTTTGAAGGGAAAAGGATTAAATTAAGTGTTTTAAAGCCTTGGTGACAGGGTAGTTGGAGCCATAAAGTTTAAAAATTCAACATTGCTAGCATGTGCAGGATTCAGCCAAGGATAGTACATGATATGCAGCTGCAAACACATGAAGGCAGATATGTGGAGTGCATGTGATTGCCTTGCCTCAGGCTGATGCAGAGGTAATGTGAAAAGGCTTTCTTTTTGTGGTCTTCTTTCTCTTGTAAACTACAATTTTTGCCTCTAGAATGAATAAAACACTTACTGTTGTTACTTAACTTCTTTGAATCTTGTTTTAGGAGGTAAAAAAGAAGTTGGAAGCAGCAGCAAACAAGACCAAGAGCTGGAAAGACAAAGTAGCTCATCATGAGGGATTGATTCGATTAATTGAACCAGGTGGGAAGTAATTCTGTGAATCAGCAAAGTTGTTGTTGGTTATTTTTATTAACCATGATGCATTGTGCTTTCCCAGACATTTTATTTATTTTATTTATTATTAGAACATTTCTATGCAGCCCCTTGCCGAAGCCTCGGGGCGGCTTACAACACTTGAGCTGTTAATTAATCACCCCAGGCTGCATTTCCTCTTAGCAGACTGGGAAAGACTAGTTGGGAAAACATGATTTAAGTAAGTTCTGAATGGATATAGGAATGGGCTGCAAACAAGGCCAGCTGATATGGTAGGTGCTGCTGTGATAAGCTCCCCATAAAACATCATCGTGACATAATAATAGTATGAAACTATTCAACTATGAAACTCTGCTAGCCTTTGTTCTCAAAGTTGTCTTCAGCTTTTACACATCTCCTTTTTGTTTATTGTACAAATATAAATATGTCTGAGATTACAGTGCCAACTTGCAATGTGTGCATATATGTGTAGTTCTTTGCTTTCCCTTTTATGAAAACAAAGTGGCTGGCCACTAGCAGAAAATATACCTCATCGGTCTGGTTTTTTTATTTCTTCTGAGGAAATAGGAACTTTAACCATCGGAAAAGTTACACCTTGATTGCAATTATCACCTTAGCTAAAAGAACCATTGTTGTATAATGGTTAGAGTGTTGGACTGGGACTTAAGAGATCTGGGTTCTAGACCTCCCTTGGCTATGAAGCTCACTGGGTGACTTTGGGCCAGCTGCTGATTCTCAGCCTAACCTACCTGACAGGGTTGTTGTGAGGATAAAGTAGAGAGAAGGGGAGCCCTGTAAAGCCTCACTGGATTCTTGCAGGAGGAAAAAAGGCAGGATATAAATGTGACAACAGCAGCAAATTCACAGCCAAGTGCAGATCTCCTGTATCCCAGTGCAGCATTCTAGCCACTACAGCACACTGGCTTTCCTTCCTTCTGCAGTACCCCCACAGTGTGGTTTCTACCAGAACAGCTGCTTTTAAGCATTTAAGATTTTATGTTCAAGCATCCATAGTTGTCCTATTTACTGGCATCCCAATTGCAATTTTTACTGACACCTTAAAAGGGCATAGTTTCAACATATACTTTAATTTACAGAAAGCAGTAAAAATCAGATGGAATAATTACAGGTTGAAGTTTCTAAAACTGCATATTATGATTTAAACCAGAGTTTGACAGCTTAAAATATAACTGCAGTTTTATGAAGATTATTCTATTAGTTTATAGTATATAGTATTGTGGTTTTGGTGTTTATACATGTTCTATACATGATTATTGTATCCCACTCTGGTACCTCTGAGGCTGAAAGGTAGTTAAAATATTTTAAATAAACTGTTACTTTTGAGGGGATGAACTACCATATCCAAATTGTGGTACAACTAATCACAAGGATTGGGGTGTAACTCGAGATGGGCTGCAGTATTGGCATTGAAAGTGCTTCAAGTAAAAATGCGGTGTGTTACAGGTTCCAAGAATCCTCACTTGATCACAAATTGGGGACCAGCAGCCTTCACTGAAGCTGAACTTGAACAAAGAGAGAAGAGTTGGAAGGGGAAAAGGAGCACTTCGGAGCAGTAAACGAAGCTTAAATGTTTGGGGGCAGGCAGGAAGAAATCTAATTGCTAAATATATTAAGCAATACCAGCTTAAAATACCATTGTTTAAAATAGAGCTGGTTCAAGATTTCCATCAACAAGTTGAATTGGCCAACAAAATATCCATTCTCTACTGCACATATTTGACTAAAGCATTGTCATGCTCCTATGCAATGTAAACCAATAAATTATAGCACAGTTTGGGTGGATGTGGGAGTAAGGGTCCATATGGCTTGAAATTTACATAAATTGTTGCTATATTGACTACTACCCTTACCCAGATCAGAAAAGATTGTGTGTTCTGACTTGAACTGTGCTTTTTGCCTTTTGATGGGAAAGTTGAGTGAGCCTCTTACTGTGTTCAGTTAACATAGGCTGGCTAATGCACTATAAACTCAACCTGTTAGTTACATGTTTGGGGCAATTTCTAAATCTTAGCAAGACAGTAGTGTGTAAAGGAAAATTTGAAGAGAATGTAAGTTAGATTCAGATTTAAGCTGCATCAGCTGTGCTGGTGGAAGTGGATTTTCCCACTCCCTCCTTTAGCCCTGAAAATGTGCTACCCAGAGAGTCAGGAGACCCTGTGAAATGGGTTGAGCTAGGGGAAAGGAAGATCCCCAAAAAACAGGCCAAGGAACTTTCCTCAAGCTGAGTCATTCTGCTTGTGGAAGACAGTTCCTGAACCCAGCTCCATGAATTGTATGTTAAATATCTCATAACTTAGTAATATCTGTCTGCAAATAGTAGACAACTGCAAATTATTGTAATTTTGAGAAATACAAATATCCTTTGTGTTGGAAGATAGCTTTTGGCAGAATTCTTGCAGTTCTTTTCCTAGGTTTAGGAAGCCTAGTTTAGGAATTCATAGTTCAGTCCTGGCAGTGTGTACTCCTGAGCCTTTTACTTTAAAATGTTATGTTATGTTATTTGTGAAGTCATGCCTGACCCATCGCAACCCCATGGACAACATTCCTTCAGGCTCTCCTATCCTCCACCATCCCCCAGAGTCCATCCAAGCTCACACCGACTGCCTCAGTGACTCCATCCAGCCACCTCATCCTCTGCTGTTCCCTTCTTCTTTTGTCGTCAATCATTCCCAGCATTAGGCTCTTCTCCAGTGAGTTCATCCTTCTCATTAGGGGACCAAAGAGTTTCATCTTCAGTATCTGGCCTTCTAAAGAACACTCAGGGTTGCTCTCCTTGCAATCCAAGGGAGTCTTCTCCAGCACCACAATTCAAAGGCCTCAGTTTTTCAGCGCTCAGCCTTCCTTATGGTCCAACTTTTATACATTTCAATTGGGAAAACCATAGCCTTGACTATAGGAACTTTTGTTGGCAGGGTGATGTCTCTGCTTTTTAGTATGCTGTCTAGATTTGCCATAGCTTTCCTCCCCAGGAGCAAGCGTCTTTTAATTTCCTGGCTGCAGTCCCTGTCTGTGGTGATCTTGGAGCCCAGGAAAATAAAATCTGTCACTACCTCCATTTCATCCCCATCTATTTGCCAGTAAGTGATAGGACTGGATGGCATGATCTTAGTTTTCTTAATGTTGAGTTGCAAGCAAACTTTTCTTCCCCTTCACCCACATCAAGAGGCTCTTTAGTTCCTCTTCACTTTCTGCCATTAGAGTGGTATCATCTGCATATCTGAGGTGGTTGATATTTCTCCCAGCAATCTTAATTCCAACTTGTGATTCATCTAGTCCTGCCTTTCTCATGATGTGCTCTGCATATAAGTTCAATAGGCAGGGCAACAGTTGGCATAGTCAATGAAGCAGAAGTAAATGTTTTTCTGGAACTCCCTAGCTTTCTCCATGATCCAGCGTATGTTGGCAGTTTGATCTCTAGTTCCTCTCCCTCTTCGAAACCCTGCCTGTACTTCTGGTAGTTCTCGGTCCACATTCTGCTGGAGCCTAGGTTGTAGGATTTTGAGAATAACTTTGCTAGCATGTGAAATGAGTGCAATGGTGCAGTAGTTTGAACATTCTTGGGCATTGCCCTTCTTTCGAATTGGAATGTAAACTGATCTTTTTCAATCTTGTGGCCATTGTTGAGTTTTCCAAATTTGCTGGCATATTGAGTGTAGCATTTTAACTGCATCGTCTTTTAGGATTTTGAATAGCTCAGCTGGAATACTGTCTCCTCCACTAACTTTGTTGTTGCTCAGACTTCCTAAGGCCCATTCGACTTCACTTTCCAGGATGTCTGGCTTGAGGTCAGCGAACACCCCATCGTGGTTATCAGGGACATTAAGCTCTTTCTTGTATAGTTCTGTGTAATCTTGCCACCTCTTCTCAATCTTCTCTGCCTCTGTTAGGTACCTACCATTTTGTCCTTTATCATGCCCACCTTTGCATGAAACGTTCCTTTCATATGTCCAGTTTTCTTGAAGAGATCTCTGGTCCTCCCTATTCTATTGTTTTCTATTTCTTTGCACTGTTTATTTAAGAAGGCATTCTTACCTCTTCTAGCTATTCTCTGGAATTCAGCATTCAATTGGGTGTATCTTTTCTCCCTTGCCTTTTGCTTCCCTTCTTTCCTCAGCTATTTGTAAATCTTCCTTAGACAGCCATTTTGCTTTCTTGCATTTCTTTTTCTTTGGGATGGTTTTAGATGCTACCTCTTGTACAATGTTGCGAACTTGCATCCATAGTTCTTCAGGCACTCTGTCTATCAGATCTAATTCCTTAAATCTATTTGTCACCTCTACGGTATATTCATCAGGTATATGATTTAGGTCATACCTGAGTGGCCTAGTGCTTTTTCCTACTTTCTTCAATTTAAGCCTAAATTTTACGAGAAGCTCATGATCTGAGCCACAGCCAGCTCCTGGTCTTGTTCTGACTGACTGTATAGAGCTTCTCCATCTTTGGCTGTAGAGCACATAGTCAGTCTGATTTCTGTGTTGACCATCTGATGTTCATGTGTAGAGCCGTCTCTTGGGTTGTTGGAAAAGAGTGTTTGCTATGACCATCGTATTCTCTTGACAGAATTCTACCAGCTTGTGCCCTGCTTCATTTTGTACTCCAAGGCCAAACTTGCCTGTTATTCTGGTTATCTTTTGGCTTCCTACTTTAGCATTCCAATCCCCCATGATGATAAAGACATCATTTTTTGGTATTATTTCTAGAAGGTGTTGTAGGCCTTCATAGATCCGGTCAACTTCAGCCCCTTCAGCATCAGTGGTTGGGGCATTGACTTGGACTATTGTGATGTCGAATGGTTTGCCTTGGATTTGAACTGAGATTATTCTGTCATTTTGGAGATTGTATGCCGGTACTGCTTTTCCTATTCTTTTATTGACCATGAAGGTTACTTCAATTCTTCTGAGGGATTCTTGCCCACCGTAGTATACCTGATGGTCATCTGAATTAAATTCACCCATTTCTGTCCATTTTAGTTTATTGATTCCCAAGATGTCAGTGTTCAGTCTTGTCATCTCATGTTTGACCACATACAGTTTATCTTGATTCATCGATCTTACATTCCAGTTTCCTATGCTGCAATGTTCTTTGCAGCATCGGACTTTCCTTTCACCACCAGATACATCTGCAACTGAGTGTCCTTTCGGCTTTGATCCAGTCGCTTCATTCTTTCTGGCACTACTAGTACTAGTCCTCTGCTCTTCCCCAGTAGCATATTGGACACCCTCCGACTTGAGGGGCTTGTCTTCTGGTGTCATATCTCTTTGCCTTTTGGTACTGTCCATGGGGTTTTCATGGCAAAGATACTGGAGTGGGTTGCCATTTCCTTCTCCAGTGGATCAGTTTTTGTCAGAACTCTCTGCTATGATCTGTCTGTCTTGGGTGCCCCTGCATGGCAAAACTCATAGCTTCAGTGCGCTATGCAAGCCCCTTCATCACAACAAGGCAGTGATTAAAGTATTTACTTTAAAATACTTTTTACTAATTCTTTTGTTTTTCTTTGGTTTTTGTAGTTCTTATATATTTGGACTTGGAAAAGGGTTTCTTACTATTCTTATTGACCTCTGTAAACAGAAAAAAAAAATGATTTTTATGTTTACGATATTGACTTTTTTTGTCCACTTGTATTTTCTCTCAAGTATCAGGCACCAGGAGTTTACCATGCCAAACTTTTCTGATCTAGTATTGTTCCTTAAAGACACATCTCTAAGGAAGTCTTTGTTGGGACCATGCAAATCTCTTGTAGTCCAGTGTTATTCAAACCTTTGATACCTGGTGGACAGGATATTTTCTGGGTTAAAACTGGAGGCACACATTAATCTTTACATTCAGATATGTACATATTTGCCTATTCATTTCTCAGTGTAATAGGCAGACTATTTTCTGTGCAAAGACATGATAGCACAATTAATATGGTCCAATTAATGTTTTACCTTCCCCTTTATCCAGTGTTTTTGGGGTGATGGTGATGCTTATGGAGTTCCTTCTTCCCCTTTTCTAGTGAGGACCTTGTTAAAGGAATCCTGGTCTTGGATGACCAGTGCTGCGTGGACTCTTCCCACTTTGCAATACAGGGTGGTGGATGTATCTAACGTGATTGCTCAACTTTTCAGAGGACATATCAGTCCTTTTCAAGTTGCACAGTTTGGGAAACACTGCCACAGACCACTGGTCTCTTCGACTGAAGTGTTCTACACTATTTGCTCCGCTTGTCTAAGGACACAGTCCTGTGCACACTTACCCCAGAGTAAGTCCAACTGAACACAGTGATCTTCCTTCTAAGTAGACATGCATAGGTTTGTACTGTTTTCCATTCATCTGCTTTCTTAATTACAGGTATTTGCTGATGTACTTTGTTAACAAACAATTCTTGCTTACCAAATTTGTACAGTTTTCCTATACAGTCCAAGTATAAGTGCAGCTAATAGTTGCTAAATTATTTTTCAGGTTAATGTAAAATTAATATTCTAGCTTTAAAGTAGTAGAATAAAGAATAGTATTGTTCAATTTTGTATGGTTTAATACCACACAGACAAAACATGCAGTCTTGAAAAAGAGCCATTCCTTCAGTTCTGGAACTCACTTGGGGGAAATCATGCAAGCACTACCATGCATCATTCTCTATTCATGTCATTAAGATTATCTCGTGGAATTAATGGATGCAATGTATGGCATGTATGGAGCAATAATCCTGGCTGAATTAGGACCTCTGTGATTCTGGGCAAAAAAACTGTTGGGGTAAACAAACATTGACATGCCCCAGCTCCATTGGAGTTCTTCCTGTGCTTAGTTCTATTTGTTTTTACTAACTGAAAATGTTTATCAGAAATGTTCCAAGAAATGATTACGTGAATGAATATTAATGGAATTCAGGTTCTCAATTTTGTAGTTAATTTACAATAAACATTAGTTTTTATGTTGGAAATATGTTCACATTCCTAACTTGATTTGAACCATCAATAGTAGCATTGTTATAGTTTGTTAAAATCTGGGAAGCTAGTTGTGGTAATATTTATAATGTCCAAACATATTAGTTTAATGCCTAGTGTTACACTGCATTTGATAAACTACATTAATATTTTTGCTAACTACCACAATATGTTGGATCAAGTGCCAATGATACATTTTTTCATATGTTCTGTTTTTACTAAAGCATCTATTAAAATAAGTATAGATTTCCATGAGTTTATGTATGGCTCATTTCATGTTAGGGTGGGTAGTGGGATGGATAGTCTTTAAGTGCAACACTGCTTGAAAAACATATTGTCAGGCTTCAGACAACCCCATGACTCAAATTTGTGGGTTGAATGTGTTTTATTGATAAACTGTGGGTTGTTGAACATGTTGTCTGAACCCAGTTGTGCTAACAAATCTTGGTTTGTTAACAGTGAATAACCCACAATTCACATGTGCTTTCCCATGACCAGGTGGCATTCTGTAGGACTTTGTGCTTTGCTGGGCTATACTGACTGTCTCAGGTTCTATCCTGTTAAATTAATTCCAAGACAGGAAAGTCCTGCTGCCCTTGATGGAGTAATTTTCCTTGTGTCTTACTCAAGATGCATCACAGCCATTTGG